GTCTTGCCATTTTGCGAGGTCAATTTGGGAATGGGCTTTGTCCCTATTTGGATGTAGCTGGAATCCCCCATCAGACTTGCAGGGCCTTTTTTCCCATTCTTTTTTCAGGTGGCAGATAAAAAGGGGAAGAACAATGTGAAGAGGACTAAGGGCTGCAGTATGTTGGACACTTTGGGAAGAAAGAAACTCCAGGATATTCTCAGAAGCTCAGAGCAACAGATCTGAGGGCTTTCATTCATATTAGGGTGGTATAGTGGCTGAAATCTTTGGAGCTTTTCACAGATTACACTGTGGATGACATGTTGTGGAAGTGGGGTGAAATTGCAAGTTGCACACAACCCAAGTCAGTTATGTGTGGCTTAGACCCCTCCACCTGGTGGATTCGTGAAACTAAACTTTGATGGGTGTAGTAGGGGAAATCCGGGACAATCGGGAATTGGGGGTGTTTTTAGGGATGAAAACGGGGTCATTTCTGCCATATTCTCAGGTCCAATTGGAGTGGGTGACTCCCTTAGAGCTGAGATCTTTGCAGTTATGGAAGGAGTTCAGAAAGCTAAGGAGTTGAACATCAGGAAACTCTTAATTGAAGGGGATTCAGAGGTGGTGATAGGGTGGCTCATTAAAGATCACAATGGCTTATGGAAGTACAATAATGAGAGGACGAAATTCAAGTGGCTGGTGCGGGAGATGGAAGTTAAGATACGTTGGGTTAAAAGATCGGCTAAYTCCCTAGCTGACGGTTTAGCTAAACAAGGGGCAGAAAGGGACTCACTGTTTTGGGCTAAGCTGTAACTATAGTGTGTTTTCTTTCTTTCTTTTTTTCCTTTTCTTGAGGTTCTTTGTTGCTCTTGGAAGATAAGCGTGTTTTCTTCCTATTGTAAATATTCTATTGATGAGTTAATGAAAGTGTTATTGATAAAAAAAAAAAGATGCCATTGCACTAAGCAATTTGTATAACTCCGCCAATGTGAGCTTGTCATACACTGTAAATCCCAAGCCTGGAAAAAGGAGGGCTGCATCAGGTTGGCAGCTGGCACTAAAACTTTTTCCAAACTCTCATGATCATGGATCCTGATTTTTCTTTTTGAATGGTGAAACGGGATTCATGTAGCTGACCCCATATGGTTAATATAAGGCTTGGATGATAGATGACTAATGTGTATACACACACACACACTAGCTGAGTCATACATGCTTTTCCCATGCAATAATGTAGTTCATATAATAATAAGTATGTAACCTAGAATGTTGGTAAAATAGAACTTGGATCTAAGACATTAACTCAACACCAACAAAGCACATTCAAGAATCCCAGAACAAGCATATGCATACAGAATTCATAGAAGCTTTAACAATAGCTGAACCAAAATGTGTTAGGTATTTTAATGGTTAATGTAGACAATTTCTCAAGCCTCTTACTACATTAATAGTTAATCTAGATATTTTTTTTAGTTCTTTTTGCAAGACTTTAAAACTGAAATGGTAGTGTATGTTGTTCCAATGTCTTCCTTGATATAGCAGTGTAAGTTGTTCCAAAATCTTGAGATACCTTTAGTTAGAATTGAAGTTTTAGTTAGGAGAGTAAGAGTCTATCATGTATTTAGTCTTTACTGTAGTTAGATTAGGATTATTTTTACTTGATGATCAAGGAAGTTTAAATCAAGGTTTTAAAAACCAACCTGGAAACGGAACCACCTCTGATTCCTGGTCAGTGGTTCAACCGTATGGGTCAAATAGATCAAAACAGTTGAGTTCAATTTACATTGTATATTGCATCCTGACGATTAGATTGGAACAATGTTTTAAAAGGCATGGGAGGTGCACAAAAATGCCTTTAGGTGTATGCTAGAGGTGCTGATGCCTTTGAGGCATACACTGCATATGCCTTTTGCATGAGGTGGTGCTAGAGGCATACACCTCGTGCATGCCTCATACAAAAAGATAGAAAGAAAGGATAAAAGATACGAAAGAGAAGGAAAGAAAGAAAAAGAATGGGAAGGGAAAGAAAAAAGAAAGAAAGAAAAGAAAAAAAAGAGGAAAGAAAGAAAGAAAAGGAAAGAGAAGGGAAAGAAAGTTTGGGCTGCCTCCAAACCCCCCAACACCTTTTTAGTGCAGCCCAATTTGTTTTTTGTTTCGTTCTTTTTCTGTTTTTGTTGGTGCTAGGCTCCACTTTGTCTCATTTGCTTTGCTTTCTCACCTCTACTTTGACAAGACTCCCTTTTAGCATCTTCAGTCTTAATACAAGACATCTTTCATAAAAAAGAAACCAAAAAAACAAGATGAGATCCTCCTTCCTCTTCTTCCTCTTCCTTTTTCCTCTTCATCCCCTCTTCTTAAGGGGGCTTCTTATGCCTCCTTGGGCTTAGGGGGCTTACACCTCTTATGTTCTGAACTATTATGCCTCATGCCTCCAGGTAGTGGAACATCTTGTGCCACACCTCTGCATTTTAACACATTGATTGGAATATTAGGTTAGAGAGGAAAGAGTGAGAGGGACAGCTGAAAGAATGAAAGATAGAAGAAAAAGGAGTGTGGCAGTTGCCTCCTCAGTCCTCCCTCTAATCTCTTTGTCTTTCAGGTTTCTCTTTTCTCTCTCCCTCTCTCTCCCTAGCCCTCTCTTTTTACTCCCCCTACCAACTGGTTAATTTCTTTCTCTCTCCCCCACCAACGAGTCAACCTTCTCTCTTTTTTGTTATTTTAGTGTTTAACAAGTTTAGTTTCTTTTTATTAAACCCTGAACCGTTGCCCAGGTCTAATAGTTCAGTGGTTAGACCATCTGGGTCAACAGTTTTTTTTTTTTTACAAAACAATGTGCACGGAGCCGGAATGGTGGTTAGTTTCCAGTCCGAACGTTTAGACTGCCAAGGCAACCATGGTTTGAAAACGTTGGTTTAAATAGAATGGATGATTAGTCTTTACTGTGTCTAATTTAATCTTTATGATGAATGGAGTAAACAGAATAGAATAACTTTAAATTTTATGGATACTTTTGATTGTTCTTGGTTTGATGCTAATTATGTAGACTATCTTGATGGTGCTAAGTCCCTTGAGAAGCTATAGGTGCTGGCTCTTAAATATACTGGGCTATTATATCTCCTTTTTATCAATAAAGTTTGAATTAATATGTTACCAGTTGAAAACAAAGAATACAAATTTGTTTAGAATCGAAAAAAGATTCTAGAATGCAGAAGCGAGATGGAAGGAAATACTTGAGTCAATTGGAGAAAGATTGTACTTTTATTTTTCTCTATGCTCTTTCTAGTTTTCTGACTGCAAGCTTGAGTCCCAATGCTTGTGGACCTTCAGGACTACTATAATCACTTGAATACATACAACAAACACGAATTCAGAATACCCTAGAAATTAAATTGAAACAAATAAAAAATGTGATCCTTAGAATCTAAACAGAAAAGCCTGAAGATGTTCCTTTGTATCATCATTTTGTGCCAAGATGAATTGACCTCTTCTAGCCTCGAACCTATATGCCCATCTAGCACATGTGGTTGTTATCGCCTTCATTTATTCATCTCTGTAAGAATTACAACATCACAAAAAGAAACAGAAAAGAGTTTGCAAGAGAATAGCAGAGCAAGCAAAGAGAAAGAAGACAGTCAATCCGATCCATGTTCTTTATCTTCTCTCAAAGAAAAAGTACCTTTTATGTGGTGGAGAAGCTGCTGGCATGTGCTTGGAGAGGTTCTATGTGTAATGCTATTGAGAGAGATTGAATGTGGATGCACAGATAAAGAGCAAACTCTTGGGTTTCTCCAACAAATAAGAGGGAGGAAAATGGATATCACATGGATTGCTATAAATAAAAATAAAAAGGGAGGTATTCTAGGCATTTAAAAGTTAGAACATTGACCAAAACAAGTGTAAAACTCTCTCTCTTTTATAGCGGTTAATGGATATACCCACATGGTATAATTATAAATAAAAATAAAAGAAGGTTATCTAGGCATTTAAAAGTTAGAACATTGGCCAAAACCGGTGTTTGAAGCTCTCTCATAGTGGTTAATGGTTATATACTTATATACAATTATGGGCCATTGCATAGATTTTGAGGCATTTATACTGATAAAGGAAACATTTTTTTTGGTGATAATAAAGGAAACTGAATGTCTACATTTTTATCTCATCATCAAGTTGTAAGTGCTGGCTATCAACCTGATACATCTTTCCTTAATCCGGACTTAGGACTGGCAGTGTAAGACAAACTCACACCAGCAGAATATCTACATTTTTTATCTGAGTTTACAAATTTATTATGAAAATAGTGCTTTCTTATACGTAGACCTAGACCTAACGCAGCTTGCATGAAAGAACAAAATATTCAATTGGTCTACTGGCCCCCCTCAATGAAAAAAACAAAGGAAAAACACAAGAAAGTGCATGCACATGGAAATTCACCAATGTGAATGTCTACTGTTAAACATATCTTTTTTTTTTTGTTATATCTCAGAATATTGTTTATAGTCGGTAAAGGTAGCTTTCTACTGCAGATGATAATCTGCACAATAGAACAGATAAATGGTTCAACCCCTAGCCACCTTCCCTTGCTGATGGTGGAGGGTGATTATTCTTTTGTAGATATGGGTCCCTGTCCAAGTTCATTGATATTGATTCCACTGTGTGGGCCCATATCAGATTGCCACTTAAAGGAATCTGGTGATTTGCTTTCTGCTACTGCCCATGGATTTGTCTATTGTATTTTATGTGCGAAGGATGTTGTATGTACTCTTGATGTTTCTTTATTGGTTTCTCTTTCTTGGTCTTGCACTGTAGTTTTCTTTTTTCTTTCATTAATTGATTTTACTCATCTCTGACAGTTGAGGGTGGGGGAAGAGGGAAAAGAATGTAACCAATACTAATTCAAAAACCAGTTCTGTTCTTACGTTAACAATCACAAAATATAATTTGACTTTGAGTATAGTAAATTGACTAGTTTGTTGTTACAATTATTAAGTTGTGATTGCATTTTCTTCTAAAATATCCTTCAATCATATGTTTGAATATTGTTGGAATGAACAGTTTCACATGGTCGAAGCAACTTATCGAGTGAGGGAGGCCAAGAAGCAACTATATAGTGAGAATGGAAGACATCCCGATAATGAAGAAGTTGCAGAGGCAACAGGGTTGTCAATGAAGAGACTCACTGCTGTGCTACTTACCCCAAAAGCTCCTATATCTCTTGATCAGAAGATTGGGATGAACCAGGATATGAAACCTTCGGTCTGTCCTTTTTTGCGTTATTCTTTTGTATAGATACCTATCATTCATATGGAATCACTTCACTTTCTTATTCATTTATTAATGGTGCTTTCTCTTTGTTTTCAGGAAATTATTGCAGATCCGGATGCAGAAACAGCTGAAGAATTGCTGATCAAGCAATTCATGAAACAAGATTTGGAGAAGGTGCTGGATAGTCTTAATCCAAGGGAGAAACAAGTAATTAGGTGGAGATTCGGGATGGAGGATGGAAGAATGAAGACGCTGCAAGAGATTGGGGAGTTGATGGGTGTGAGCAGAGAAAGAATCCGACAGATAGAATCCTGTGCCTTTAGGAAGCTGAAGAATAAAAGGAGAACAAAAAATTTACAGCAATATGTAATTTTATAAGCCCCACAGTAAGATGCTTGACGGGGTTGTCCATATTTATTTTCTTTCCTTTGTTAATCTTTCTTTTTTTCCATCAATGGGAAACATATCTTATTCATACCTTTTTGTAATGAACATTTAATTTATTCCATCACGAGAAATCAGTTCGGTAGAGAAATAAAATTTGGAGTTAGTATATTTCATTATTACTGAAGTCTGAGTACATGAAACTGTGACAAGGATCAAAGCGGTTGATGACCTTTGTCTCATAACCGAACTTTTCAACTAACGTTTTTCCTCAGCTGAAGAAAGAGAAAACTCTTCAACCGTTGGTGTTCTTGGACGAAATTAGTCCTCTGGTGCTGAATGAATCGACTGTTGATTACCTCACCTGCACCCTGCGTAATGCCATATACGCAATAAGCCGATAGCCAACTAACATCATGGCCATGATGGATACATCCACCCACAAGTTTTTCAGACCCACCACCTTCACAGCCGGAAAATCTACCACCCGGCAAAACATTCCCTGTGAACACTCGTAGTAGTCATTCTCAGTGTACTGAATCCCAAGAAGCAGCTTGTAACAGTAGAAGCTGTAGCTCAAGTACTTCAACCAGACAATGAAGGGAGGAATCTGTTGTACGTAGTAGCCTCCGGCTATCAGGAAGACAAGGGTGGTCACAGAAGCCAAGGTGGCAGCCTGTTTGACATCCATGAGGATGGCACCATATGCAAGACCAAGGCTCTGGGAGACCAGAACACTGAAGAGAACTACAAGCCAGGAGAGAACGAAGGCGGTGAAGTCAGGCTTGAGTCCACCCATCCAGTAGATTATGATTACAAAGGCAGTAGGAAGTGCGAGCTCCATCGGCAGGTCGCCGGCAGTCCGGGCAAGGAAGTAAGAGGAAAGACGGTACATTCCAGAAGAGCGTTCTTTGATGAGCATTGATCTTTCTTGAGGAAACGTGAAGACAGCATTGTACAGTGGGAAGAAGCCCCAGAACACAGAGAAGAAAAACAGCAAGGCTATCTGCACTCAAGCAAGAAAACCACCCTTATGACTCACATAGAAATAGAACCCACAGAAACTTCAGTTAACAGTTTTGTCCTCTCTGTCTTCTAAAGTCCTAATTGGGTTGTTTAAGAAGTGGAAGAAATTAGTACTTACTCGGTCTTGGAGATGGGATGCTGGGGTATGCCACCAAAGGAGACCGCCCAGGGTAGCAACACTTATGACTTGGAAAATTCGTAATCTGTTGAAGGACTCGTACCTCCGTTCCTTCAGACCTCTCTTCAGAAGAATCAAAAACTGCTGGCACCAGTTTGTTCCCCAGTGATCTGATTTTGTGGAATTCCCTGCGTTAGGGTGCAAAGAGAACTTGAGATGACAGTCTGGTATAACCACAAAGTCGATATTGTATGTAATACGTCCCATCATCAAATGGTAAACCGAATGGTCTTTGATAGAAGTGAATCAAAGAGATTCCATTCCAATAAGCACTGAGCTGTTAATTGTAAAAGGCAAGATGATTCCTAAACCTAAACATCTGGGAATTAAAAAAGTCACAGATGATGAAGTATTGGTAGTATTTCTCCAGTTTGTGTTTATGTGGAAATCGCACATTGTTGGTGTGGCTGGCATGAATAGTCATGGCAATTGGATAGAAGATCACTTACTTGCAGAGGCATCTCTTGTATAGTTGTAGCTATTTACATCCGTACTGCAGAGCTCAGCTTTCAACCTCGTAGCAATGTTTTTGTCATAAGCAGAAATGAGGGCCTCCTTCACTGATTTCTGCTCCTGTTCCATGTTGGCCTGAAAATCACCTTGTTCATTGACATGCTTGGAATCCGGGGCAATCCCTGCATTAGTGGGTAATCTTAGAATCAAGTTCCAATGTTTCTTCAACAAAACTAGCCCTGTTCCTCCAATTCTCTCAATTGGAATGCTTAAACAGATAATGGGTTACAAGAGATTGATCCTGACAATGCAGGGGCATTGTCATCTTTGATCAGTCTCTTGCACAGATGTTAATGTTGGATCAAAAGAAGACATTATCGTTTTCTTCAACTATTATCCTATCAGTTTAATATTATATATGATGCTTCATAGATTAGGCATAAAGAGAGATTAAGATGTCTCATGTGTCCCATAAAATACAGGAACTGAAGTTGAAATTGTGGTGCTGCTGTGGGTTTCTCATCATACTCCATTTCTTTCTTTTGTCAATGAAGAAGGTACAATAATAACCATCACTTCCACTCAGTAGTAGGCCCTGCCAAGTGATTCCCTATCTCCCGTGCAATAAACTAACCAAAGAAAAGGAAATAAAGCTCCCTGCACTCCCATACCCCATTGCACTCACGTGGCCACTTAGTATTAAAAGATATCCAAAAAAGGTCACTAAGTTGTTAATAATGGCCAAAACGAGAATTTAAAATAGCAGAGGGATTACATACCATTGGCGAGATCAAGTAAATGATCGGCCGGGTTGACAGAAACAGACGTAGAGAAGCCAATAGAGGAGAAGTAATCCAAGGCAGCTGATGCTGGGCCATGGTAGATGGGGTAGCCCTCACAGAGCAACACCACCTTGTCAAACATGTGGTACAGTCGGCTTGAAGGCTGGTGAATGGTGGTAACCACGGTGCGACCCCCGTCGGCGAGCCGCTTGACGGTGGTCAGGATCCTTTGAGCCGTGGTGGAGTCCAATCCTGAAGTGGGTTCATCTAGCAGCAGAAGACTTGGGCTGATAAGCATTTCTTGGCCTATGCTGACTCTTTTCTTCTCACCTCCTGATATCCCTCTGAAGAGTGGACCTCCTATCATGCTATTCCTGCACCGGCCGAGCCCCAGCTCGGCGATCACATGCTCGACATGCTGAACCTTCTCAGCCCGAGTCAGGGTGTCAGGCAGCCTTAGTAGTGCAGTAAATACTAAGGTCTCAGTCACAGTCAGATGTGGGTAGAGTACGTCGTCCTGTGCCACAAATCCTGTCCTCCGTTTGATGGCACCGGAGAAGGGCTGCCCATTATATGTAATCTTCCCGGAGAGCTTCCCATTCAACCGCCCTCCGAGAGCTGTCAGCAGCGTCGTCTTGCCGCTGCCCGACGGGCCTAGCATCGCCAGGATCTCTCCTGGGCACACCATCCCTGTTATCCCATTTAGTATAGTCTTCTCTTTGGTATTCCATGTACCACCCCACCAAAAGCCTTTCTCCTCCAGTTTTACTTTGTATACCACTTCTTCAAACTGCACAACATATATATCAAACTATATATTAAGATCAATAAAAAGTACATCCTATATAATAAATAGAATATATTTATTGAGAGAGAGAGAGAGAGTTAAGTAAGTGACTGAAAACCGAGATAGAAGAATGAGAGACCTTAAGTGTTATAGGGAACACGGCAAGTTGTAGAACAGATGGAGGATTGGGGTGCACTGGGTATGCGACGATGGTTGTGTTGTTGGGTTGCTCAGACATATTCAAAGAAGCAAACTGTTGGGGGTTTTCCGGCATGGATATTGGAGTCGTCAAGAAGAGGATGGCCAAAGAAGAACCGATGGAAGAGAAGTGAAAAAACAGAAAGTCTATTTATTCTGGATTTGGGTTCCTTTGGCTTCCCAAGGTGAACTGGAGGACCCTTACATATATACTTAGTACGAGATGTGAAACGAGGATGTCCCCTCTGTGATTAAGCCTCCATGATGATGTAGGTCTCTCCTCCTAGACTTCCATAGTGGGGTCCCACAAATCCCACATTCCCACCTTTTTTTCTTTCTTACTTTATCAATTAATCTAACACAGTATCACCAACACGAATACATTTTAATAAAACCAAATCTATTATACTAATCTGAATGTAAAACTTAACCTGATCAGCTCTACGATAATCTCTGTCTCTCACTTTCCTTCAACTAGCTAGCTTTATTCAGAAAAGATTTTCTATGAAGATCTCTTTCTTCTATTCTAGATTATGATTCTCTCACCGTTGGATGACTCTTCTCGTTCTTTTTGACTTTTGGTTAGCATCCAAGAATACTTAAAAAAGAAAGAGAAAAAAATTTAAAATTTGTAGGCTTTGTATACTATGAGAACACATGGTGAATTGTACTAGAAATAAAAAAAAAAGAGAAGATTGAAGACACACCAAGCTAGCTTTAGGCTTTTGCTTTACTGGCCAACTGATTCTGATACGTTTCAGATGGTGTTTAATTTTCAACATTCTCCGTCGAAATATTCGATAAGGTTTTGTGTTTGTTTAGTATTGGAAAATAACGTATATCGACTTAATAAAGTGGGGAGAGGAGGAGGAGATGCAAAGCAAAAGCCTCCCGTCTTCCATTAATACCGTCTCTGTTTTGGTTTGCTTCGAGCTAACTTTCTCTAGTCTTTATCATAAAATTTAATGTTGTTTAGACCGAGACAGTGAACAAGAAAGAGAGAGACATGATTAAAAGACGAACCCCAAAAATATTTTACTTAATTTTTGGCAGCGCACTGAGTTTTGGGTTGTGGGTCTTTTGAGTCAAGGCCCTTGGATATGGGTCTTGAGTGGAGCCACCATGTGGGTTTTCATTGGTAGGTTTTGCCGTGGTGCGCATGGCAAATCAGATGCCCTCCGCCCCTCCCTTTGCTTCTCCTTTCGAGTCGGGAATTGGGATCTCCTGCTGACAAAACACGTTCCAATACTGTCCACTTGATCTAACGCCACACATCTCACTATGAAATTGGGGCTCACCATAAAAGTGGGACCCATTTTGCATGAAACGTACGGTAGGAGTGTCAATTGTCCAATCCGGTCCAGTCCAATGTGAGTCCATTACAAATGGACCTGGCCCAATCCAGTCCAATGAATATTTTGGACCATTTTGAACCGGTCCAGAGACTGTTCAGTCTGTTCAAATTTCTGTTAATTTAGATTGGTTTTAACTCAAATCTGGTCCATTGACACCTATGTTCTTATCTTCTATCAATGGGCCAGATATTGACTCAATTCAATATAAATTCATTATCCAATATGTCATATTGGTTCGTCGAATCCGTCTAAATGAATTTTGATTTGGATGGAGTCAAACTCAAAACCAATCCATTGACACCCCTAATGTGTGGTGTCCGATCATGTTGATAGGGTGTTGGCAGGTGATCCTGACTCTCTCCCCTTTCTCTATTATTCTAAAGTTTTTGAAGGCATTTAAACTTAAGCTTAAAGAAACATGAATGTTGTCAACTTGTAAGGTGCCAACCAGATGGTTGATAAGGTCTCCTGCTAATTGTAACATAGATTTAGGAACGAATCCTCCCTGCACTTAGGTTGGGAGATGGATTATCCCCGTTGTGTAGTCCTTCAAAAGAAATAAAAAGAAAAAAATGTCAGCTCAAATATTGATATAGATCCTTGCCCTAAAATAAAAGGCATGTGAGACTTACGCCTTGAGCTTTTTGCTTAGAAGTTAAACTCAGACACCATCTTGAATTCAAATCTGAGGTTCATGATGTTTCTTTTGAAGGGGCTGTAGTATATACGTTCTGCATACTCAAAAGATATATATCTTTCTTTTTTTATTTCTTTAATTTGAAATCTTTAAAACTTTTTGAGATTCTACTTCACACAACCATGTTCTCTAATAGCTTTTGATGCATATTTGTAAGTTGACTTCTTTGCAACCATATGAGTTAGCATCAGAATCTGAGATATTAATTACCTTCTGATGTAAGATTAGTGACTAAGCTTTAAGCATTTAAACAAATGAAAAGGTAATTGGGAGCTTTATCTTTTTTACTACTTTATTTTGTAGTTGAGCCATTTATATATGTATTTTCTCTGAACACCAGTTAAGCCTTTCACATGCAAGACACGTGGACAGTCTCATAACCATTATATCTAAGTAAGAAAAGTACCAAAATCTGAAGGGGCCTGAATTAGGAAAATATACCATAAAATTAAAGTCAAAACCAATTATGTGCTATTTAATTAGTAGACAACAAATTCAAGAGATTGACTAATTAAATTGGTTTGGCAAACTAATAAAAAGGAGCAACTAATTAATTCATTTCACGTTTTGAATAAAATATTTTGGAATATATATTAATCATTTTTTATAATTTTTTATTCTTTTTAAGAATTTAATTTCTTTAACTATAGAAGAATGAGAACCATCAACGCTTATATTTTACGCATTTAGAGGTTTATTGCCTTTATCCTTCTTTTCTTTCTTTCTTAACTAAGAAGTTGTTTGACACCGTGGCATATCTTTATCCTTCACTGTGTTAAAAGCTTAAAATAATTAGCTGCATTTCGGGTGCAAGCTGGGCGGATTAGGCTAGGTTTATGGTCAATGAAACCCATGCCCGGGCCCGAGGTCAAGCCTGATTTTTCCAATCTGAGCCCAGCCTGTCCTATAACTTGATGCATTCAGGTTGGGCTCAGATTGGTCAATGAATCCACTCTAAAATTATACATATATAAATGTATTTATGCAAATTTATATATACATATATTTATGTATGAATGTGAATATATATGCAAAATATCTATACAGATGTTATATATATATATATATGTAAATATATATCCAACATTTACATATATGCACATATATATGTATAAATGTATATAATTGGGCCGGGCTCAGACTGGATTCGGGCTACCTAAGGAATAGGCCTAAGCCCAGCCTGAAAAATAAAAAAGCTTGACTTCTGGGCTCAAGCTCAGCTTGAGGACCGAAAATCCAATCCCAGCCCATATAAAATTTCTGGGTTGGGCCAATTCGGGCTTGGGCTGGGCCCGCCCAAGTTGCACCCCTACTCTGCATTAGCAGTTTTGCATAAAGCCTTAATCTGATTATTGCAACAAATTTTATTAATGAATTAAGTAAAAAAATATAATGTTTTAAAAATAAAAGCATCTGGAGGGTGAGTGCATATATATAGATGATTATGCTTTATTCAAAGAAAAGACAAATAAATTAATTTAGATACCAAAAATTAAATCATCTAATTAAAGAACAACTGTTCATGGCTTCTTGGATTCCAAAGTTGATCTTGGCATTGGGACTCACAATGGGGCTTGGCTTAGTTGAGTTATGGAGTTGGGAGATAGACACGTGGCAGGCACTCCCATATATACATGATCTAGTGAGGGCATCCTTTTATGGTCCAATATGACATTGACAAGCGATCTACAAAATCATTGGCAGCAATTGGACGTGGAGGGGCCACCCACTCAAACCCATCTCCCTTTTCTGCAATCTTTTTATTGGTATGTCTCTTGTTGTTTTCTGTTGTTGAGCACACTCTCTTTCATTTGTTCTTGGCTTCAATTTTCAACAGCTTTACCTGAAAAAGAGAAAGAAATATAGGGAAAAAAACACAGAAATGTCTGATCCAACTGTGACCCACCATCCATCCATCCTCCATAAATATATCTGATCCTAATTCCTAACTACCAAAAATTGTAGTTTTCCTTCTCTTTGTTTAGTGTGGTGTCCAATTAGACCCTCCTACATGTGCACCGCATGCTTGTATTCAACCATCTTTAATTTCTCACTTTTAGAGCAAATGTTTCTCCTTTAAGCCCCTACATAGGGGGGCCATAATTAAGGCTAATTAGACATTAGAAGCAAAATACACTGTTTTCTCAAACCCTAATCATGACCAACAAGCATCCCAGAGGTGCGCGTGCAGCTGAATCTTCGCCATGTTGCACCACTAAAGCGGATATAGTGGGATCAGAGGAATCGTGGAATGCCACTTTCTTTGATGGAGACGACTGAGAACCAGATGCCTTAATTAACTTTTTCTCAATTAACATATCTTCAATTGAAAAAAAAAAAACACAAGTTTATTAGTAGAGGGATGATGAACAACCCTAAAAGATGGAGTATATATGGAGATATTTCTGAAAAAGGCATTGAAAGCTTCATGCTTCATTCATTTTTCGATAAGTAATTTATTCTAGGAAACATTTATTTGGGTAAATAAATTTATCCATATTTTTTTATTCCCCAGATAAATAAGGCAACGACCATTTTAGTCATAAAAATTTATTATTAAAAGAAGTATTTTGTTTAGAAAAATAAAATTTTTCTGATCCCACATATATTTGAAAAAAGAACATGGATTTCTTGATCAATGTAAACCAAAATCCCATCGACCAACTTTCCCCCTCTCAAAATCCAAAAAAAAGAATGCTCCTAAAGATAAAGTTTAGTTTTCTTAGTGGGTTAGATAGAGCTTGACACAAACTCACTCTCTCTATATGTGTTATTACATGATGTTTAGTGTGCTTTCATTTCATCCCCACTGGCATCAACTATACGTTTTATTCATCTCTCCTTCATAGCTAGCTTCTACCCTGTCTGCAACTAGATATTCTCAATGATAAACTGTCACCATTTCGATCTCGTGGGGACCCTATCGATGAGGTTGGAACAGTGAAAAAGATCATCAAAATCTGCTTCCAACCATGAATTTGGTTCCATGATTCTTATTTGGAGGTTACAATGTAGGCATTTGGAGCAGAAAAGAGTGGCCAAAAAAAAAAAAAAAAAAAAAAAAAAGCCTAAGCTAAGAGAGAGACCCTGGCTACACGAGGTGGGGAGGATAGCTCTATTTCCTTGACAATGGGCCGACCGGGGGCTACTTGTGAAGAGAAATGTTGGTTCCTAACATCCACATGGATAGATGCTTAAATGGTCTCTTTAGTGAGATGCAGCCATGTGATGGATACTGGACCTTGCCATAAAAAAGTGATGAATGCTTTATGTGAACAACACTAATGATCAGCTTAATTAACTAGAGGCATTTTTATTTTTCTTGTAATGGTGGATTTGATCCCCTCGAGCTAGCTGAGAATGGCTTTTGATGATAAGGGTCCCACCATGTGGGTAGTGGGATGACGTGGAGGAGAGTGACATGTCAGCAACTCAACTTCTGACTCTATGTTAAGGGTATATGTCTAGCTAGATTCCTAGACATCTGACCCCACAGTTTCACGCCTGTGACTTGGGCTTTCATTCTTTTGTTTTTTTTTGTTGTACTCTTCTGCAGGTGAAGTTGGGACTTGGGAGGGAGATAATAGAGATTGGTGGGCTGGATTTTCTACACGGCTTGTGTGGACTGTAGAGTAGTACTACTATGGACGGCCCTGGTAGGATTGTATATTAAAAATGTCAGCCCACGTGGCATTTTAATTGGTTTCCAACATGCCCATACCCTCTAGACATATTCTTCAACCCATTGCTTTCTGCCAAATGGCAAATGATGATTGTTTTTTTCTATACAATCTTTTTCCATATAAAGGGAAAGATGTTCACTGACACTAAGAGTTCTCAGTCCTAAAAGAGTGGAATCTTCAAATTTTTCCTCAATATTCAATCATGTTGTTCTCAATCATTTTAATTTTGTCCCTTTTTTCTAATAAACTGATCTCAATCATGTATGAATTTATGTAATACAAGAGTGATGAAATCCTTGCTTTTTGCTAATGTGGATTACTTAGCCACACAGCGTAAGAGTGAGCACAAATGAACTAGGGTTACATCACACTTTTAATGACCCAATGAGGGAAAAGTTATTCATTAGCAACCTCTTTCCCACCAAAACCAATTTGAGCTTTCCTTGCAAGAGAGCTCAGAAAAAATTGAAACAAAGAATTGATGAAGAAAGCTGAGTTTATAGTTACTAGATCTCAGGGTTTGCTTGGCTCCAATTCAAATCTGAAGTTCTTGAATATTTGCTTCATTGCAACTTATGTACTTAAAGTGGATGATGCAAAGTATAAACTTTAATTGTAAAGGTTTAGAGTGTGAGATATGGTAAAGAATTTGTATTGAATATTTTGCACATAACATTGTTTTTGAAGGGATTTGAGTAATCAATTGATTGTGACAAGCTTATAATGGAAAATAAAAAAAGGGGTTTTTATAGTTCAGTCCACCCTGGGGTGGAGCTAAGATTTCTAGGAGTGGAGTGAATCTTTCCCATGCATAGATTGATGTCAAATTCACATGCAGGATGCAATTTATTAGGGGGGAGGGACTGCAATTCAAATTTCTGAGGTGGATTTCTGTTCACTTATCCCAATAAAAAATGTTTTTAGTTACTTATTTTTCCCTTCTCTATTTTGCCTTGAATTTCTTTGAATGAATATTCTGTTTGAAGTGGTCATCTAGTATTTCTTATATTTATTTCATTACAACTTCTTTATAGCCCCAAAAATGAAGGTTGACTTGGTATTATATGGGCTAGGATATTAATAAGACTGTTGATAAAGTTGGCTTAGAGATTTGTTATTAATAAGAAAAATTTGAGATCCAAGTATTTGCAAGATCTTTCCTCCAAAGATTAAAGGTTTAGAATCTCCACTTTGGAAATCTATAGCACATGGATATATCATATTATCTTTTTGATAAAATTGGAGTTCAGGTTTGTAAAAATTTCTAAATATTTGATAAATTGTGTGGGTTAAAGTTTTAACAATTTTTTAGTCCTTATGGTCCCCCTCCTGCTCATGTGGGCAAATCTTTTGGTCAAGGATCTCATTGATTCTAGAACTGGTGACTAGCTAGGATAGAGAGAAAGTTTGTTTGGTTTTCACCCCTCCAATTATTTGTCATACATGGGACCGGATCTAGTAGGCACAACATAAGTAAGTACCTTAAGGCTACGTTTGGTTTGGAGGAAAAAGTAGGGAATGGAAAGGTAAGGAAACCTTTACAAACCTTGTATAGGTTTCTTTGTCTTTCCCTTTCTTTTCCTACATTTTCCTTCAAATCAAACACAGCCTAAATGAGCACTTGATAAATTTTTTGACAACTGTCAAAAGTGGGTTTTAATCTTTTTCAAGGGTGGGCTGAGGGTATTTTAAGGGACAAGTGTTAAAAAAAAATTTCAAGTGCTCATTAAACATCCTTACATTGTTGTGCCTACCTGATCCAAACGGTCATATACATATCTTTCCAAATATGCTCTGCAGAATAAAGTAATAGTGTGTGGATCTCTTCAAAGAATCGTAGTTTTTCTGTTAAGGCTGTATTAGGTTGCAGTGCAATTTTATTTGCACTAATACAAATGCATGGGGGTGCAAATAAAAAAAATACAAATTCTCATTTAATTTTGTTTTTGGTTTTACTTTATTCTACTTCGTGTCTTAATTTATTTCATTTATACTATAATAAAACAAAATAAGTTAAAATTTAAAATAAAAATAGGTCAGAATTTACACTCAAAACATTTGCACTGCCATAATTTTGCACCAGTACAAATTTATTTGCATTGCAACCAAACACAACCTTTATGGAATTCTAGAAGTGGGTTGGACTGAGGTCCTGAGTTGCATTAGGATGATTTGGAAACTTAAGACTTCTATAGATATAAACATTTCTTATGGCGTGTTGTTGGAGGTTTTGTAAACACAAAAAGTTTACTTTGGCAATGGGTAATACTCAAGATAATGTGTGTAATTTATTTCATGATTAAGATTTAAGAAGAATTAAATATCTATAACAAAATACTGCAGGTTTTAATTCAACTCTTGTTGGACAAGTCTCACCCTCCTTGGAGTGTTTCCACACTCTTTACCAGCTGCATGAGTCTCTTGAACCACCTTCCGACTTTCTCAGTTACATTCATATCCAGGTCTTGTAATGTGGCTGCCAACAGGGAAACCAAATATGCTTATCTGTACTAGTGTGTTCACACTTCACACCTGGTATACTTCCTCATATTTCTGGTATTCACGATGTAACTGAGATTTGATTTGTTGAATTGATTAGTCTTTGGGTAAAACTGTTGATGAGGTGGTCGACAATAGGAGTCCTAGAGACCCAGAAGCCAGAACTCAGAAAGAGAACACTACTTTAAAGAGAACTCAGGAGCCAGATCTGTAGAAGGATGGAAATAAAATATATATATATATATATATATATATATATATATATACAAAGGGCTAGTATGAGTCGAACTCTCCTCCAGTCTTGTAGGAGAGATATCCAACAAGAGGAAACCATTCTTTATCTTCTGATTGCGTTGGCACCTCGTTTGCTGATACAATTTGGAATTGTCTTCATCAGTTGCGTTGGGGTGTATAGTGTGAAGGATCAGCTTTTGGTTTGGATTGCTGTTACTTGTTCTTTCATTTAGACAGTCAGGAATTTATATATTTTTCAAAATAATAAAGAAATGTTTCCCCATTGGATCATCGTTAATTAATGTGATAGAATTAGAAACTCCGTTGAAAATTTTTATGGGGCTACTAATTACGAAAATGTTAGAGTGAATGCAAGTTATTGCTCAATTTGTTTGAAGTGTGAATTTCCCTTGCACTGGTGTAAATGCAAGGGAGTGCAAATAGGTTAAGCCGGGTTAGGAAGCTTTGAGAAATTTCGAATGGGAAGCAGAGAGGTGAAATCAATTAGGGGAAGAGGGTAGAGGTGGCGGAGGCAAGTCGGGTTTTTGATGGATTAGGGGTTTCAGGGGTGGGAAAGGTTAAGGGTGTGAAGCGGGGTGTGAGGTGTAGAAGTCGAGTTGGTGGGTGGGAATTTCTCATTTCTGTCTCGAATAATTTTTCCATATTTTTTTCGAGTTCACATCAGCACTACAGAACATCCCAACTGTGTAGTGGTAATATTTTCTAATGATAATACAAGAAATGATGGAGCAGATGTTGGGACGTGAACTTATAAAAAGATTATTTAATAAATTTTTTTCAGTTTATTTATCAAATAAAATTCTGTTTTACTTTTTGTCTGAATATCAATAAAAAGTAATATTTTTATAAAATAAGATAATTTTTAAAAAAATAGCAATAACACTGTTCATCGTCTTCCTCTGCTCTCTCAAGAGGACGATGGATCCATTTATTTACCGTTAACATTCTTTCTGTTGTATTCTCTTTTGTTGGATTATTTGGAAGCTTGCCACGTGGGAGCACGATGAGATCGATCTATTTTGCATTCACGGCCAGCGAGACCAATCCACTCTTGCTACACTTGGAAGAACAACCGCCTAAGTTCCTAACCCAACAGTACTAGTCATCGCCATGTCGTCGAGAAGCCTCCCTGAAGAATTCATCTTCGACATTCTCTGTAGACTTCCCGTGATGTCACTACTGCAATCTAAGTGCGTCTGCAAATCATGGTTCGCCTTAATCAGCGACCCTCGATTCGTCAAACAACATCTGAACCGAGTACTTGAAAGCATCACCACCCCCAACGACGATGGCGGATCCTCTAATTTCATTGTCGTCTCTTCCGGAACTGTCTATCACGTAGATGATGGTTCTGAGACAGCAATGCATGATGGGTCGTCGAGAAAATTCGATTTGCCGTTTCAGGATTCTTTCAGATGGCCATGGGTAGCGGGTTCCTGTAATGGATTGGTGTGCTTGGCCAACGAGACATACGATGACACCCTAGAAGACTTGTTTGTATGGAATCCATCCACCGGAGATTACATTAAGTTGCCGGAAGCCTCTTTTGAGCTTCCTCCATCCTCCCTACTAATGTTTTGGCCTTCGGCTACATCTCCGCCCTTGACGAATACAAAGTAGTAAAAATTATTCATACTCTTGATACTTCAAGAAGACCAGGCGTCAATGGATCCATAATTCTGGTGCATACACTCGGCACTGATTTGTGGAGAAAGATTGGAGAAGACTTCTCATTCCAATATCATTCCATCGTCGACGATGAACAGTATTATTGTCCTTTTTTTGATATTTTTCTAAAAAAAGGTTACTTTATTTTAATTATTTTATAAAATATTAAATTTTATTGATATTCAGACAAAAAATTGCCCTTATCTGCTAAAAACCTTTACCTTTTCCTCTATTTTGACTGTCCTATTTATTTGTGAGAAGTAAAAAAATGTTATCCATCGAAGAGGGTTATTTATTTGCGAGGCAGGAAGCAATAAGATGTTGTGATCACCATTTTATATGAAAGAGAGGTGCAAAATTTGCATTTTTGTACTGCCAATGAGTGCAAATGAGGGAAAAAGTACAAATTTTGTATAACTTTTAGATTTAGGAGTATAATCACAGTTACAAATAAATATATGCAAAACTGAACCGGATGCAAAATTTGTGTCTTGTTTACATATGCACCACAAACAAATGGATCCTTGGTTGTTAAAGTGGAATCCTCTAGAAAATGTTTTGAAATAAATTGTGATGCTGAACCTATTTGTGGGAATCGATTCTCTTTTTGTTTCATAGTGAGGACTAATTTAATTGGGTAATTTCATTTAGCTGTAGGAGGATCTTTTGAATGATGTCAGGGTATTATGGAGGCTAAAATGAAAGCAAATTCAAAATCTCTTGAATTTGCGATGCAGAAGCATTAGAAGTATGTTATTTTGGAATTTGACTCTATTTTGATAAATAAGGTAAAGTTTATTAAAAAGAAAAAGGTTAAGCATAAATGGGGAGGAGGCTCCACAAAAGAGGTCCCCTTACAACACCCACATACATACAATATAATATAAACATAAAACCAAACCCATAACTTGTCAATTTCTGTTAGCGCCATGAGAACTTCATAAGAATTCTGAAGTATGTCGATTCCTTCTGAACTGTTAAGAAAAAGAATTCTCATTCTTTTATTTGGCGTTGTATGCTGGATTCAAGACCTGGATTTGCTAAAGAAGTGCTAAAGTTTTTGCTACTAATGGATAGTCTACATACATAGATTGTTGTAGATTACCTCCTCATTCAAAAGTTGCAACAATAATTGGTATGAATCAGGGATGACTGTAGAGTGTTCTCATGGAAAGAGTCGAATTTATCTAAATTTGAATTTGAATTCAAAATTCGTTTGGAAGCTGTTTAGTCATAGGTTTTTGTTCAACTTTGCAGCCAATATTGCAGGTGTATGGCATTGAAGATGAGCATTTCACATATCCATATGAAAAGCTGTAGAAGCCAACTTTCCAATGCATTAAACAAAGTTGGATTTGGAGTTTTCTAGGCAAAGTTAGTCAAAGTTATGGCTAATTCTTTTTGAGGGTGGAGTTGAAAACGAGATTCCAAAAAATGCATAATTAATTTCAAGCCTTTTGAATTTCTCTCTAGGTCCAAGTGTTTTAGAGTACTTAAAAGGCTCAATTTGGAAAGAGTACAAATACAAATATGTATAATGTAATTACATAAAAAATAATACAAAATACAAGATTTTGTACCCTACTTTTTTTTTGCCCCCAAACTTTACTCTAGGTGGAGGGGAGGCCACCTAAAATATTATTAAAAGTTTAAAACCAAGACCCAAAAAATAACAAGAACAAACGGGAGGACATAGTCTGCCTTGCCCCTAACCAAGCCATGGAAACACTCCCTAAAACTCTTAAGCCCATCCAGAAAAATGACAAAATTACACAATTCTAGGAATAGGGATACCCAAAAAATCATCCTGGAGAAGGGATTTTGTTTTACTAGGTAATTAGCGGGGACCTGTGCCATGCACGAGATTTGGTAAAAAAAGTGAAATAATGCATTTATAAATACTTCTAATTAAATTATTGTAATTAATAATATTAATTAATTAATACTGTTTTTTTAAATAATGTTATTTATTAAAAATTAAGAATAATAATGCAATTGTAAATACTTCTAATTAAATCATTTATAGCTAGTAATTTTATGCTATTTATAACATAATAGATATCACTAATGTATTTTACATTAAGCTTTCAAAGGCCAGAACCGACTTGAACCAAGTGTTTCTTGTTGGAAAGAGCGCCTGAAAACCGACCTGAAATGGAGATGAGTTACTGAAGTCGCATTTCAGAATCCAAGGAAGAAGAAAAACAAAAAACAAAGAAAAACCACCCTAAAATGGAAAAGCGATGCATATGAAAAGACGATGCATTTCAAAAGAAAAATGAAACTTATCTCTCCAACCTACTATAAGATGAAAAACAAAAAACAAAGAAAAATGAAACTTATCTCTCCAACCTACTATAAGATGAAAAACAAAAAACAAAGAAAAAATTACTAACCTAAAACTTATCTCCAACGTTCTCACTCCCAATCTGTAAACCTCTTCAAAACYTTATTTCCAACGTACTTGTTGTTGCGCGATCTGACTACTCCCAGCTGGAGGGCGATCTGGCTTCCAATTGAGCAGCGGGCTGGATCTATCTGCAAGATAGTAGATCAGAGAACCCGGGATGGCTAACCCAGTGAGGTCGCTCTGATGCTTAAGTTAGAATACTGTAATGCGAGCTGAATGCTTGAGAGTTTGAGAGCTTGAGAGCTAGAGAGTAGAGTAATCACGCGCACCTTTGCCTTGAGGTTCCCATCTTTATATACTGGAATAGTCATGGGTCTCACGAAAGAGCTCCGGGATCTCCAGGGTGTGGAGATAGGTTTCGTTCCGCTTCCGAAGGAGCACTACGTAGATAAGGCTTATTGTTTCACTTCCAAATCTGGTGGAGCTGGGATGAGTCCTTATCGTGATCTCGGAAAAAATCGGGGTCTGTTAGCTCATCGTGATCCCGAGTAACTTGGGATCCGTTAGCTCATCGTGATCTCGAGAGATTCGGGATCTGTTGGAGAGACCTCTAGAGTCGGTTACATGGTGATTCGGGTTGTTAGCCTCGAGCTGATACTTCAATTCTTTAGTTCCGAACTGGATTGGATGCCGAAGTGTCTCGACGCCGAGGTGGCTGAATACCTGAGCTCAAATGTTGCGAACTAGGCTTTCTAGGCTGAGCTATTATCCCTTAATCAGTCGCATCCACGCGCCCCTTCTCGCTAGGTCGGGACAAATCAGCCTTCATCAATTGCTCCCCGCTCCCTGAGCCAGGGGTCTAAACCCGGTGCAGGGAGTTCATGACGAGTCCAGGTGGATATGGCACGAGGTCTAGACGGCTTGACGGGCGAATCGTTGGTCGGACCTATTCGACCGCCCGACTCAACTCAAGAATAACCCAGGTCACGTTTGAGTTACGCGCGGATGTCACACCGTTTTATAAACTCAGCGGACGTCAAAACACACGCTAAATCGATTTCAACCTCGGGGGTCGTGCAACTGGTTTCCTTAGGAACTGCTAGATCGTGTTGATCTCAACCGTTGATCCCTGGTTCTACTGGCTATAAATATGAGCCGAGGGGTTCATTCTCTTTGCCACAAGTCCGCAAATCCACAATCTTTGAGGTCGCGTTCAAGTCTTTTTGAGGTTGCTCTCCTTTCTTTGGTCTTCCTTTTGGTGAGTCTTTCTTTGCTTTTTCTTTTCAATTCCGTGTCTTTTTAGTATGTCTAATTTTAGTTTCGATAGTCTCTTAGACGGGAGCGGTGAATCCGTTGGAGCCGAGGTGGGTACCTCAGCTCAGGCCGTAGATCCTCGTCCTACCGAGGAGGTTACTTCGGGCCAGGATGCGGTCCGTGGTCCTCCCGAGGTGAACTCACCTCATCAAGAGCGAGAGGCCTCAGGTAACCTAGCTTCCACCTCACATCGAGGTCAGCTGCCAAATAACTTTGGCCTGTCGACAACGACAGCGGATAGGCTCCTAACCCTAGTAGCTCAGTACAGTCTTCCCAACAACTTTGTATATAGCATCCCCTTAGGTAACTTACCTTGCGATCACAGTCACAACGAGATCATGATCTTCGAGGAGGAGCTCGCAACTGGTCTTCGCCTTCCACTTCACCCTCTCATAGTTGAGATCGTAAAGCTTTTCAATATCACCATAGATCAGTTACACCTGAACTCTACTCGCAACGTGGTAGGGACCATTTCACTTTTCCATTATTACAATCTTCCCCTTGACCTTGACATTTTTTCTTCTATCCTTTCCATAAAGAAGAATTCGTCTTGTGTTTTTCCCGAGCACAGACAAACTTACTATCTGTCACCTCGTCCTGGCTTCAAACTTTTGCACGAGCTCCATAACAAGGTCCCAACCTGGAAGAGGCGCTATTTCGTGGTCCGCAACACTGAGGGGTGGCCCTTCCCGACTCATTGGAGGGCAGCCATCTAGGACTCCGGTGTTAGGTTGGACCTAAAGATAAGGGAGGCACTCCATTCTTGGGCAGAGCTCGGCCTGAAGTTCGAAGACTTCGTGACCGAGGAGAAGCTCGTGCAAACTGGTCTGAGTCCTGGTAGGTCGCTGTTTGCTGTACTTTTTCTTTGTTTTACTTCGGTACTGTATCTGACAGCTCATTTTTTGTCGCAGCTATAATGGACATCCCCGCCAACGAACTCTTTGGGAGCATGAAGAAGGGGAAGAAGAGAGCCACCAAGAGGGCTCACGTTGAGCACCCACCGACTGCCGTTCCTGAGCCCGAGCAGCCGTCAATTGCCGATCAACCTCTTGTAATAGATCTAGTCGAAGAGGACTCAGGAAAGACCTCCCCACCCCGCGTGCCCGAGGAGGCTACGTCTTCGGAGCCCGTCTCGGCAGTTGCCACTTCTTCGGGTATCGATGACGCAGCTCGGAGTATTTTGACTCCAAAATTCGGCCTTCTCAAGAGCAAGGGCGCGGTATTTGCTGAGGAGGTCGCTAGTTGGGCTGAATTGCCAGTTGCTCAGCTCGGAGCCCGAGCGGCTACT